AAAAAAAAAGTAATTAAAAAGTGCCACGCAGAGTAGTTAAGATATCTCACGATGTTAGATTTTGCAGCCGCGAAATCACTGAAGGCGAACGTACATCGCATTCAATGTTCAGCTCGGAAAGTATACGCTCCAACGCCTCCACATTACGTTCCATTGTTTCCTCGGCACTTGGACGAATTTTCGACTGCCTCTGAAATTTCATTATTAAAAAATTTTGGTTTTGATAAGCGGTAGATGTATCCATTTAGCAGTACCAAGACACTTTTGTAAAATACAAAGTTGCACTTCATAGCCCACTTTGTTTTTCAGAATCTTTTGTTTTAAAATATTCGGTAACTGGGTATTTGCTATGATAATCTCACCTCATACTGGTCACCGATAGAACGATCCAGAAAGCGTATAATTCCGAGAGCATCCCAAGCCATCAAGTCTGGATTATATGTTCCTTTTTGCTTCAATTCCACGACTAATTCTTGTTGAGACAGCCGCCGACATTCTTCAGGCGTATTATTTCTCTAAAATGCCATCCAACTAAATCCAGTCGCTCGTTCATATAAATTACGAGTGATTAGAGTTGCACGGATCAATTTATGATATAGATACAGCATTTACGAAAATAGTTTATCTTGCAGCGCATCCATCCTCAACCCCTTGCATTCAGAAAAGGAAAATGAATATTCAAAAGAAAATATTCAAAAATTCGACAGAAATGATCTATCTAAGCAGTATCAATCCTGTCATCGCCAAATTCTATTCAGTCGATGCGATATGTTTAAAAAACTATGAAAAGAGGTTTCTTTTCTAACAAGGATCATAATGTAAAACACTTTTTAATATTAAGTGACTAAAGAGAAGAAATTAATTCGCAGTGCAAACAAATAAATAAGTCCATATATATAAATATATGTGAAACTATTCACGAACTTTGTTGTAACCAGCTAACAGAACTTTTCGATGAGCACTAGTCGACGAAGCAAGATCGATTCTGAATTAATTACAGCAGGAAGGACTACATTTTCGTCCTAAACCAGCTGCTTAAGCAAGCAGCGTGCTCTTGTAAATGGACGAACTGATGGGAACTGTTTGAACTTGCTAGGGAAGATATAGGCTATTCGATGGAATTAACAATTTCCCTCCTCGAGTCGATGTGCCAGTCACAAGGGGCTTAGGACACAGCGATACCGTTTTTACTGCTCAGGGCTTTCACAGCTTGCTTCGAGATGGTATTGGGAAACTGGATTGGAAAGTTGACCTGGAGATTGACCTACGCATGCAAACAATGTTAGTTCTTATTGCGTACACCCTTTGCGAGGTAACTGAGGTGATGTGGGAATTCAGTGCAAGTAAAAACAAGTTGCTGCGGACGAACACACACAATCCTGTGACAATATGCGTTTTGTACTGCTGTAACGCACAAAAAAATAAGTCTGAGGACTGACACATCGAAAACGAGGGAGATGCAAAGTGCTGGTGTGTTTGCACTCAGACTGCAGAGAAATGAAGTTGACCTAGAAGAAGTTGACGGCTTCACCTATTTTGGCTAAATCATCAGAACGACCATACCCATCTCTTCAAAATTTAATCATTCTGCTGAAGGCCAGAACATATACATGCGAATCTCAACCACTGACGAAAGCTGAAAAGCGAGCGCTGGATGTGCTGGAGAAAGCGATGAAGCGATGCTTCGCGTTGTCTCTTCCTGGCCGTATGAACAATAAGATTCTATATCAGATAAGTGGAGTGCAAGATGACACTGCGAACACGCGAAAAAATATTCAGTTCATAGAGCGAATTGCTCGCCTCGACAATGGTGGATGCGGCGCATTAGTGACAAGTAAATGTTATATGGAAAAAGTGTTGCACATGTGCATTTGGTTGATCACAGTAAGTGCTACACTTGATTAAACTGATTGCTGATAATAATTTGTGATAAGTGCCAGCTTGAATCCAATTAAAACAAAGTTTCACCTTTGGCACAAATGGTTTACGCTGTTTCTGATGTGATTCGTGCTGGCGTGCATCACTAAGCGTACGATTCAGTTCCTCTTCTCGTGCTAATCGTATTGCATTAAGGTGATCCAGAAAAAAAGCTGAATCCCGATTGGGCAACGAAGCAGACACTGGAGAAAACCGTTTCTGACGTGCTGTACGTGCCAACTGACCGTTCAGCTTTTGCAGTAGGGAGTGATAGTGCCGTTTGCAATCTAATAGCTTGCTCTCTGAAAAAAATCAACCAAATGTACCTTTCTAAAATCCCGAAATCCTACAAAAAAAAAACTAAGTTTGAACAACTTCAGTATTTGATGTATATTTATGAAAATTGACAATGACGAGGGCGACAGCATGACGCCTATACGATCATGCCTTTTTTATTTATCAGCCATTCTGTTTGCATAATCAACCGAATGCATCAATGAATATTTGTAAAATAATCAGTGCACGCATGATAATCTTCTTCCTCATCCTTCTGTTATTCGCATCCTTTTGTCTTTGCCTCGCATTCACACTATGTATTTACGAGTATCCGAAACGCCTTATCAAACTGTACAGAATACCACGCTACATCATCATTATCAATTGCTTGATTTTCTGCCATTGTTCAATCTTTGCAGTGGTACCAAACGACTCACAAATTTTGATACTACTTATCACAAATGTATTATATTGAAAATATTGCCCTGTTACTGATTAAATTACACCAGCAAAGTGCATTGATTCCGAGAATGAAATCCCACATTACGGCAGAGGAATAATATAAGCATCACGAAATAGCATAAGCTTCCATCCGGCAGTCTACTCTGCTTCAACTTTTGTGTTACCGCAAATGTAAAAAGTTTCATGAAAATACCTAATGTGCCGTTTGTGTTCATATGTATTTGCCTGCTTGTTACTCATTTTTCAACTTTGTAATTTCATAAACCAGAAAAAGTAGAAATTATAAGCACTTAGTCACTGTTTCTGTGATTGTCTGAAGACAATACCATCAGCCTTTTAACTTCAGTGAATCTCGAGCTATGACCGCAGGCAAATGGGAATCAATTTTGCATGCGTTTTAAAACTTGCATAATTTGTGTATCACACGTCATCCCATTTGTGTTCGCAGGTGTATCCGGCTAATTGGAAGATTGGAAAGTTAATGAGGTCAAAAGTCCCTTTTTAGATTCAAATGAATTAGAAAGGCGTTTCTAAACTTCTATTTTGTCACAGCATAGGAAAGTTTGCTATCAGATCTCCAGTCGTGTCTTTTTTGAAGCCAGAAATGCAAAAAAAAAAACCCAGGCTGGAACGCACCAGGCGAGCCGGTGCGATCATGCGTTTTTGCATCAA